GGTTCGTCTTTCCCCCCTCTCCCCTCCCCCCTTCATCCCCTCCCTCCATCACCCCCCCCTCGCTGCAGGCGCTTGTGGCTGAGATGGTTGGCAACTTCTCCAAGCGCCTCACTGAGAAGTACGGCATCAAGGTTCGCGAGCTGACCGGCGACATCAACCTGTCCAAGGCGGAGATCGAGGACACGCAGATTATCGTGACCACCCCGGAAAAGTGGGACATCATCACTCGCAAGTCAGATGACCGCACGTACGCCAACATGGTGCGTGTGTACGGGGGGGATTGTACGGCGTATATGTGTACTCCGGGGGGGGGGAGAACGCGTGCGGGAAGAGCGAGGGAACGGGGAGGCGGTGTGTATGTGTGTGCATGTGTGTGTGTGTGTTTGTGTGTCTGTAGAGGGAGGCTAATGAGGGGGTTGGTGTGGAGAGTGTGCCTAGGTTCCGGTTTGTATGTTGCGGTCGGGATGGCTTGGCAACTCCTAATGGAATAGGCCCACGGATGTACGGCGGAATGTACTGGCGGTGTACTGATGTCGCTGTAGAGGTACCCGGTTGAACGCGCCTGGTCGTGTGTTGATTCTACACATACCCTTCCCGTCAGTGGTTCGTCCTTAGCCCACCCCCTCCCTCCCTCCTCCCTCCTTCCCCTGTTGTCAGGTACGGCTGCTGATTGTGGACGAGATTCACTTGCTTCATGATGACCGCGGACCCGTACTGGAGTCCATCATCAGCAGGACCATTCGACAGGTGTGTGTATGTGTGTGTGGGGTGGGGATGTGAGACGAACCACGAACGCGTATGTGTGGTGGCCACTAACCACCCCACCGCTAACCCCCCTTCCCTCCTCCCTCCCTTCCTCCGATCTATGTTTTGCCAGCTTCAACGATACCCTCCGCCACCACCACCACTACCACTACCACCATGCCCCCACATGGGGGCCCCCTCTTGCCCTGGCCGCAGCTTCACTCGTTCGTGGTTCGTCTTCCCCCTCAAGCCCAATACCTCCTCCCCCGCTCCCCCCGTGCCTACCCCTCCCCTCCCCTCCATCAGGTGGAGTCCACGCAGGAGATGATTCGCATTGTGGGTCTGTCCGCCACACTACCCAACTACGAGGACGTGGCGGTGTTCCTGCGGTGAGCGCCAACAAGGGCTTGGGGTGGATTTGGATTTGGATTTGGATTTGGATTGCAAAAGCAGGAGGGGGAAGAGGAAGGGGGAGGGGTGAGAGGGAGGGGGGGGGGGGGAAAAGAGGGGAAATAGGGGAGTGGATGGATGATGTCAATGTTTGCATTGACCAAACATGGATGATCACGTGCCCCCGTACCATCCCGTCCCGTCGCTCTGGTCCCTTCGTGCTCTTATGCGTCTTAACTTCTTCCCTGTCACCAGCGTCCGGCGACGGCGGAGTCCAAGAAGTACATACAGCACCGGCGACGCTCGGGAAGTGGGGGGGAAAGAGAGAAGAATGCGCCAACTCCCAATACAACACCCCCTTCCCCCCCCAACACACCCACACAGACACACCCACACAGACACAGACATCATTCCGCCTCTCCCCCATGCTGCCATTTTCCTTTTCCCCCCCTCCTCCCTTCATCCGTGTGTGGTTCGTATTTCCCCCTCCTCCCCCCCTTCGGCAGTGTGAAGCCCGACAAGGGTTTGTTCTACTTCGACAACTCCTACCGGCCCTGCCCGCTCGCCCAGCAGTACATTGGCGTGTCGGTGAAGAAGCCGCTGCAGCGCTTTCAGCTCATGAATGAGATATGCTACAACAAGGTGGGCGTGTGTGGGCGTGTGGGCGCGTGTGTGTGTATGTGTGTGTTGGGGGCCCGTGCGTGTGCGAACGGGTGTGTGTGGTGGTGGACGTGTTTTGGACGTGTTTTGAAAGCTGGACATGGTCGGCAGTCGGTCGTTCCGAAAAAAGCTCTTCAGTGCACATTGCATTTGCAATTTTCCTTTGTCCTGTTCCCCTCTCCCCTGTTTTACTTCTGGTACACTCTTGCCCGGACAGCAGCTTCACTCGTTCACGTGGTTCGTCTTTCCCTCCCCTGCCCTTCTCCCCTCACCTCCCCTGCCCTTCTCCCCTCACCTCCCCTGCCCTTCTCCCCTCACCTCCCCTCCCCTCACCCCTCACCTCACCTCCCCTTCTCCCCTCACCTCCCCTGCCCTTCTCCCCTCACCTCCCCTCCCCTCACCCCTCCCCTCCCCTGCCCTTCTCCTCTCACCTCCCCTGCCCTTCTCCCCTCACCTCCCCTCACCTCACCCCTCACCTCCTTCCGATGCTCCTGCTCCTGCTCAGGTTCTCGAGTGCGCTGGTCGGCATCAGGTGCTGGTCTTCGTGCACAGTCGCAAGGAGACGGCCAAGACCGCCCGCTTCGTGAAGGAGACGGCGCTGGCGGCGGATGTGCTCACTCGCTTCATGCGCAACGACTCGGCGAGCAGGGAAATCTTGCAGACGGAGGCGAGTGGGGGCCCGGGGGGGGGGGGGCCGACGGGGAATATGGGCGGGGAATATGGGCGGGAGGCTGTCCTTGAGAAAGGTTGCGGGAGGTTGAGTCTCAATCTTCTCCCCTCCTCCCGCAAGCCCCCCTCCCCTTAACACACCCCAACATATACATACATACTTGCACTCACGCACACAACGTATATATAACGTATATATAACCTCAAAACACCCAACCCCAATCCCAAACAACGCCCCCCCCACACACACATACCTACACATCATACGTATGTATGTACATGCATACATACAAACAATCACACATATTTAATTGTATGCACTGCCCAGAAGCCATCTATTCTGTAACACTCCGATAACATGTACCCCTGTACACACACACGCGCAGGCTGAGAACTGCAAAGACTCGGACTTGCGTGATTTGCTGCCCTTCGGCTTCGCCATCCACCACGCGGGTATGAGTCGTGCGGACC